GGGGGGGGATATTGCTATACCACTAACGCCGGTGATAAATGAGAGACACCACGAACACACAAAGACTAGCAGAAGTTTATAGTCTATTTCGTTTTTGTTTAGCTGTAGGGAAAAACCAAGCTTATATAATACGTCGCCAACGAGTTTGCTAAGGTTCTTCTGTCACTATTCAGCCTATGAAAATCTTTGTTTCATACTAGATCTAGATCTAGAGTGGCCCTATTCTAATGTTAGAGTAACACATGATAATAAAATCCTTCATGAATTTATGTTTCTTCAAATCCTCGTAATCTAAGAGCTCTCGATTTTATCACAGCCTTCTGCAAAAATTTCACCAACCAGGAAAAGAAGAATGAAAGTAGATATTTACCTGATTTACGAAAGAAATGTGGTACTTGTAGAACGGGTTGTGGTTGCTGCTGTCGCCAATCAGTGAAGGCAGGGCGTTGATGGGGGCGGTCCAATCCCAGTAGGGCACACCCACCAGAGCTCCGTGTTCTTTGAGAGCTTGTTCGAACTGTACTGTGTGGAGACGGTGCCAGTGAGGGAAGACGGGCATGCCTGGAGAAAATAGGGAAGAGCAAAGGAGATTTTTAGAGAGATAACAAATTGAAGTTGGACTATTTATGTTATCTACAAAGCGAGGTAAGATACAGTACACATGATAAAGGAGAAAATAATGGCTGATTAGTTGTTCCAATGGGCTGCAAAGTTATGAGAGATACATCGTTCCCATGAGAAACAAAACTATTGATAGTAACACCTTTATAGGTATAACAACAATAGCGCTGACAGAATAACAATATTGAGCAACGGAAGCAGGTGATAGTAATTGTAATTGTTGCTATGTAAGGGTAGATGTAAAGGTAAAGGTATCCGTCAGCTCTCACTTTTGAAATAAGTCAAAATCATATTTCATACATGATGTCATGGCTATCCTTATGTTGGACCCACAGAGAGTGGAGACCTCAGATATGAATAGTGGGTCAAGTAAGTCCCAAATGGAGGACTGAAGTAGACATTTAGCGAACTAACGACATACCGTGAGCACAACAGGCGTATTTGTCTTCTCCGTTGGCCGGGCACTTGAAGGGGGCGCCGTGGTAGCCAGCGATGGCCTCGAAGCCGTTGGGGCCCTGGTCTTGCTGCAGTTTGTACAGGGCGTCTCTCAGGTTGGACGCCTCAGCAAGAGTCAAGTCGTTCACGTCCTTTCTCAGCAGGCTGGCAGAACTCTTGGCAGTCTTGGCGGCAACGCGTTCGTAGTAACCTTTGTACGGAACAGAAACAGTCATTTAGGTCCGTGTCCAGAGTAAATTCTCAAAAGGCATACTAGATAAGTGTGAGAAAAAGTATTTGAAAAAAAACAAAAATGCTCTGTTTTTTCTTTGAAAAAGAGTTCAAAACCCAGAATTGGGATACTTTAATTTTACCGTAACCCCCCCCCCCCCCAACCACCCCCAAAAAAGACTACGAAACAGCTAAAAAGATGTTTTTTAACATTTCAAAGTGACAAATCTGACAGAAATCAATCTTCAATTACGACTGATTTGTCGCGATACTTTTTGAAAGATAAACATTCCCAATTTAGCAAGACTATAGAAAAATGAGTGAAACTGATTACAGTGCAGTGAGTTATGTGACAAATGTAGGTCCATAGTCTCTTACCCTTGACGCCAGGCACAAACTGGACACTGGGAGGTCTGATGAGTCCGGGGTAAAGCTCAGTGCCGTTCACAGCCACGATCTTCACCTCGAAGTGGTATACGTCATCGGGGCGCAGGTTCAGCTTCCTGAACACGTTTGTGACGTCATATTTAAAGAGACGGTCAAAGGCCCAAGGCATCTCGATGGCTCCACCCAGGACGGCAAATGTTCCTGTGCAAGAGATAGTACTCCTGAATGTTTAATGTGTTCGTTTGATAGTATAGTATAGTATAAGGTTTTACGGCGCTCGCAATTGTTAAGGTCATATGAGCGCGCTGTTCGTTTGAGAAGGAGGTAAACACGAAAGTGGTTCAATAACAACAGTGTCTTGATTCTTGTGAGACAAGGAATCGAACGATTGAGAATGTGAATAGATCTTTATTTTTGTTTGTTTTTGCTTTGGTTGGAGGGAGGGGAGTATGATAAACCAGAGTCGACTACTGCCCTTCACAGCTTATACCAAACACTTTGTGGATTTACGTTTTCTTTTATCCATGCAGCTTCAAGCCTTTTCTGAACAACACACGCTCTCATTCTTAAAAAATGAAACAGAAAACCAATGGTTCAAGTCTTGAGTATTCCAATACGATACACAGGGACTGAATTTACGTTTTCATGAATTTCATGCAGAAACAATCACCAAAGTCCGTCTCTGTCGTGTTCTTTGGGAATATTGAATGCATCCTTCCTTTAATTCCTAAGGTCTGAAAAGTCCCTAGTTAATGATTTCTTAAAAAGGGACACAAATATCTTCCCCACCAGAGTATATGCACAGAGAGCAAAAGCAACCCTACTGTAGACCCAAAAAATACTGAGTTAGAAACAAAGGAGGTCCAACGAACATTTTAAGTGTTTGCAAGACAGATTTGGTTTTTGCTTTCTTGTCTCTTGTCCGATTTATTTGCATGCATGAGTCGCCTTTTGGGACACTTTGCACTTACCTAATCACAGAAACGGGCACCTGTTACTTCAGGTTAAAACAAGAAAGGGATCCCAAATAAGAAAAAAATCGAAATCTTGTCTTACTCAAAATTAACCCAAAGAATGTAAAATGTGCAGTACCAAGTCTTTTGGGGTGTTCCAAACAAAGAATGTTGTTCGAACAAAGACAACAATGGACATTCTACGATGTAGTTTTGCACTGTTCATTTATTTCTTCTTAGTTTTAAATTGAAAAAACTAGTGTTTTTGTCTTGGTTTTGATTTGGGCGCTCTTTATTTTTATTTATTTTTTTTTATTTTTTTATTTTTTTGCTTAATTTTTTCAAAACTTCAAAAACTGATTTAGGCGCTTGGGAATTATGCATTTGGTGCACCTCATTGTATTAACCACCAGAATCATGCGCCCCTTTAGGGAGGAAACACTGCTTGAGACAGTGAAAAGATCTTATCTCAACATGTTAAGCATCAATTGATCTCAGGTGAAGATTTAAAAAATACAGGCCACTCACCAGCAAAAGCGCATTCTTCCTCTGAACATAGGTTGAAGACGACGTCACCACTTCCGCCAAATCCAGCCAACAAGAACTCAGCAAAGACGCGGTCTTCTTCCTTTCTCTTCTCCAGCAGGTCATTGAGCTCAGAGATGGTCAGGCCGTGGAAGTTGAGGTTATCGTACTGGTAGTTGAATCTGGAGAAAGGGTGAGTATAAAATCATAAAAAGGGCTTGTTTTCTAGATTCATAACAGACATCTTAAGAGAAAAGAATATTTAGTGCCACATAAGTGTCTGGTCTCTCAGATATCCTAATCACTATAACATGTATCTATTCTTTCAGATCACAATGCGTAGAGAAAAAAACAATTAAATTGCTGCAGACCAAATAATGTTAATGACTCTTAAGTATTATTAGAAAATAGATACATGTTCTGCCAGACGGCCAAATGTTTTGTTTTGTAATCGTTTTTGTTTTTGGAGGTGTTTTTGCATGTGGCCTTTGGCGTTATTATAAAACAAACACTAGACAACCAAAACTAACGTTTAGGGCAAGAACTTTACCTGTCGTAGTCAAAAGCGTCAATAGCCCTGGCGTTGGCTCTGGTGGTCGGGTTGATGTTGTCCAGGTTACTGAAAGGTTTCATGGGCTCACGAAGTTTCTGGATGGCGCAGTTGGCGTTGTTGTAGGGCAAACCTCGGAACTTCTGCAGCGCCTGCCAGATGGCGAACTGTCTGTCCGCGTTGGAGTGGTGCAACAGGAAGAGCGGGTCGTAGGCGGTGAACTCCAGAGTGGACATTCCGTACGGAGATCGGCCACCCGTCCAGGAGTGGATGGCGTTGTGGGTAATCTCGTACTGGACCTGGGGGGGAGACACGGAGAACGGGGGAGGGAAATGAGAAAATGAAGCTAGGAAGAAAGGCAGGTCAATAATTAACAAATTACACACCACGACGAGAAAAGATAGTGGTGCATATTGTGTAAATAGAAATGGGGAAAGAAGTGACGAAGAAAGAAAATTTATGAGAAGTTGCCTATTTAAGTAGTGTGTGTGGCCGAGGGTGTGTGTGAGTGTTTGTGTGTTTGAAAGAGAGGGGGTGAAAAAGAGAGAGGAAGAGAGAGAGAGAGAGAGAGATAAAGATGGATCGAGAGATAGAGAGATAGAGAGAGAAGGGGGATAAGAGACACAAATAATGAGAAAGAACGGTGGAAGGAGAAAAGAGAGATGGGATGAATATGGTACCATATCAAAAGTAACGTTGTTTTTGGTACTCAGTAATCTAAACTGCGCCCGGTGTCGAGAGAAAAGAAATATGAAAGTCGCTTTGTCTCCAGCGTCAAAATATTGGAGTTTTTAAGATTTTGGGAGAGGTTAAGAGAAATCAGACTTTTGAAAAGACATTACAACAATGACTTCTTTTGTGTATTACGTATCCATCGTTCTGATATGACATGGACCTCGTTTGGAGAACCTCCTAAACACTTTGACTTACTTCAAAGTCACAGTAGTCAGTCTGCTCAAACGCCAGCAGGGCTTGTCTGTAGAAGAAAGACTCGGATCCGAACTCGGGGTCATTGAAGAGCTGCTCTCTGGGGGCACGTGACGTCACTTCACCGTTGAAAATCTTGAAGTTGTAGAAGGGGTTGTTCTCCTGCTCTGTGACCAGGGAAGGCAGAGCGGTGAAGGCAGTGGTCCAGTCCCAGTACGGGATTCCGATCATGGCGCCCTGGGGGAGATCATGTGTGGCTCATCAACAAGTGGGCGGCGGAAAAAGTGTTGGGGACAAAAGTACCTTGACAGGCCTGCATGATAAGCTCTATAGAATGATTTTGTGAAATCCAGTTCTGAGCTGCAGTTTAGTCTTTACATACTCGACAAATAAACAATTTTCTACGTGGCATGGCCCATTTATATTAAGTCCGAAGATAAGTATATAAGCGCTGGAAATCAAAAGGGCTTTTAAAATTAAACGTATGCCATAAAAGGTATTGGTGCACGTAATTTGTACAGAGCTATTGAAATACATCCACTGAAAAGTGCGAGTCTTTTTTTAAGCCCCTTAAGTATTAACTCGGTATTCTTAAAAACTGTGCAACCATGAGGACTAGACAGGTTTTCGTATTTATGACTTCCTTTAATCGTGTATATTGTTTTATCGTACGACATACGTTAAAAAGGGTATCATTTTGTTGTTTTATCCTACGGTGTTCTTTAAAAAGTGTACCTGTGCGGTGAGAGCGTCTTCAAACTGCTTGACGAAGAGTCTGTGCCACTGGGGGAAGTTGGCCATGCCGTGTTGACAACATGCGATGCGGCGACCGTTCAGTTCACAGCCTGCTGGCTCTCCGTGGAAGGCGGCGATGCTCTGGGAAAAGAGGAAATATTTGAACATGCTTAAAAATACCGTAAAGCATGTTAACTCTTTAAGGACGAAGCAGACACTTAATAATATGTGAGATCAGCAGCAGACCAAAATAAATGTGGAGGTACATTTCGAGTCTTAATAAGAAGAAGAAGAAAATTTAAAACGTGAGTTTGCATCTTTGATAGCATGCATGATGTTGGTGACCTAAACATTTTAAATATTGAAAAAAAAACTAATGATATATAATGTACGTATAATTTTTCTATCAGGGGTATAAAGATGGTGATGATGATAATAATAGCTCGTCCGTCAACTCTGACGATAACCAGTAGATCTTCAGAGGAGAATATCGCTCTAGCGAAATAGAACAGTTACAAGAATTTCAGATGTTAAGATGACTTTGACTTCTGCTCTGGCCGATGAGATCAATTCTGGCAGAGAAATATTTGCCACATTTTGAACATTGTGGATGTGCGCAGCTTTCGCGCTTTTCTCTTGGATTCAGCATTTCCTATTCGCAAAGCCCCACGTTATGAGTTGAAACCCATTGTGATTGCTGCTCTCCTGCTGGTTCTGTCAGGACCTGGCCTTTCTCACGCCGAAGTAAATTATTTATGCTGTCAGAGGTAAGAACAATTGAATAGCTTGCCGATCATCTACACTCTACAAGCCGTCACAAAACCGTCTACTCACTGCAAAGCCGTTGGGGCCTGCATCAGCTTGGACTCTGCGGAGAGCCTCACGGAGGTTGTCGATCTCAGAAGTGGACAGGGTGGACACGTCCTTACGGACACCAACACCGGCCAGGGAAGACGACGAAGACACTTCCTCGGAGGCACCTGGGGGTCAAAGTGTAACGGATATAAAGATCCTGTCAGTTTACAGCTTGCACTGTTTGCTTTCCGGGAGACCGAAAGTGCTTCTGGGTTGTCAAAAGGTAGATAATAAACCTCAGGTCTGAAAGTGGGAACAAATCACAGCCCCGTAGAGTTGAGACGATCTAGCGTGTCGTCCGATTTGTCATAGCAAAGCTGTAGAGATATTAAATTCTAGGGGTTTTTGTCCTCAATTGATAATGAATAATCAAACAAGGCTAATAGATAGAATGCTTTTTTCAAACAATGTTCTAGGTTTGTATTGGTTTTTATTTAGTATATTTATTTTTATTGTTGGCTTTTGTTTAAGCAGATTTTGACGTGTTGTAATTATTGTTACTCTTCTCCATTTTATAGTTGTTCTTGCTGTTATTGCCTCTTTTAAGATTCTATTAGCCATTAAAATTTGATGCTGATTATGAATAAAGTGGGAAATATTTGACTTGCAATTCTGCCATCTTAACTGAATTTTTGGAATAATTGTGCCTACCACGCCTTTCCCCAAACCACTATCCTCTAACTACGCCTATTCAAATAGTTCCCATTTCAGAAAAAAAGCTATGCTGCTCAAAACGACGATCCTTCTAACAGCTAAGAATGTCGAGTAAGTCAGCATACCACAGAAGACAGCACCACTGAACTCACCAACAGCTGCTTTGTAGATGATGGTCGGTTCTGGCAACACTGAGCTCACAGGCAGCGCATGTCCCTCAACATCGAAGACCTTGATATCCAGTGTGAAGAGTGCCTCGGCATCAAAGACGTCCTCTGGATTGATGCCAGACTGCTCCAAAGCACTTGTGATGTCGTAGGTGAAGAGACGGTCGAAAGCCCATGCCATCTCAGTGGGACCGCCCAGCAGGTTGAAGCGACCAGCGTAGTTGCACACATTGTTCCTCTGTCGGTTTCGAAAAAAAGATTTTGTTGTGATTTTTTTAATCAGATTACTGAGGGCGGGGCTCCAGTGGTTGAGTTGTCAGTGAGCTGAGGCTCACAATTAATGTCAAGAGCATGCCCGTGACAAGGTGTTAAGGTGTGTTTTGGAGGGGAGTGTGGCACTGGGATGTGTCCTTGAGCACGACACGATAACCCAAGCTCAAAAATAGTGCTGGTACTTGTACGAGTATTACTGTCGGTTCGATTTCTGCAAGGAAAATCTCTCACAGAGACGCTAACAAACACATACACACCCATTCACACACGCACACACACACACACACACACACACACACATACACACACACACAAACACACACACAAACACAAACACACACATACACACAAACATACGTGCACGCACGCGCATGCACAAACATACTGAAACAAGACGTGTGCTTTTTTCGGTGGGTACACATTCAGAAAACAATTGCATTGTTATTGAAGAATGTTCAAAAGTTAGTTTTAACAACACACTGTTATAAACGTCACACACCATAGCACACAAGCGACCAGACATACTATTATGAGACACAATTAATGACCGGACACACTATCATACTGAGTCACAAAGCACCGGTGTCTGTCATGTAGCGAATAAGCCCTTCGCTATTGCAGGCAGCAAACCCAAATTCAATTACCGTGTGAGGATAATTCTTTATCCAGCATCTCAATCGTTATGTTGGAACTTTGTATCTCTCTCGTCCAGAGTTGACCCTCACAGACAGGGTCAAAGTCGGTCGCCTATATGATCTAAACTGTGTTTCGATAGGGGTGTAAAAACACCCTTCTTCCTCTTAGCCATATTTCAGTAACTGGGACATTACTTCTCGAACCTTTCTGCATCAAAATACCATGTTTTTATGTCAATCTGCATATTTCAGCTATCTTGGTTTAAAACCAGGTTTAAACAAAAACACGTACATTTTTTGTTAAATAAAGAAACACAGTGCATGACAGACAACTCACCAGACAAATGTTGATGACCACCGAGCCGGATGTCTTGACGCCCTTGAGCAGGAACCCGGCAAAGACTCTGGCCTTGCTCTGGCGGTCGGCGATGACCTGCTCCAGACCGTCCAGGTCATAACCTCCAATGGACAGGTCGTCGTAGCTGTAGCCGAGGTGCTCGTAGTCGAACACAGTGTTGGGCACAGCGTGGTCCCTGCGGAGATAGGAACGTGTGTCATAGCACTGACCAAAGCACGGATCATAATTGTTATATATTTATTAGTTAATAATAATTATCGTTACCATTATTATTTTTTTAATTATCATTATTACATACAAAAGTGTAATGCAGGTGTTTTACTCCTCATCTGCTCAACAATTTAGATCATTTAGGAGGCGGGCTTCGACACTGTGTAGTTTTAGACTAAAGCAGTGCTTGTCTCGCCTTTCTTTTTGGGGGAGGCGCGAAAAGGAATTACGAAATTTTAGCGTGCAATTTTACGAGGGCACTGGATTATAGATTACACGAGACCGTTTTTACAGCAATTATATCATAATATATCTTCTGCCAGTTGGACTTTAACGCTTCATCTGTGCAAATCTGTCTCGTTTCCATTTCATATATAAAAGGAAAACAGTTGCTTACATGGTAAATTTATTCAAGTTGAAACCCTCGAAGAAGAATGGTCTCATGGGTTGGCTCATGTAGTTGACAGCGCAGGCTGCTTTGTTGGCGGGCAGGTGGCGTCTGGTTTGCAGCGCCTGCCACAAGGCCCAGATCTTGTCCGTGTAGGAGTGGTGGATAAGGAACATGGGATCATAGGCCGAGTACTCGAGGGAGGAGAGAGAGTAAGTTTGGAGACCTCCGACCAGGAAGTGCATGGCGTTGTGCGTAATCTCGAACTGGACCTGTGAGAGGAAATAGAAACGGCGGGTGCTTAAAAGACGCCGTTTATTTGTCTCATTTCTTCCGTACGCTGTATGACCATTATTGTGTTTATGTACTTCTCTTTATTTAAAAAAAATAAAAACAGAAAAGAAACATTCGATTTGCACTGACGTTCGAAAAGGGGTCTTTAAATCTACGAAAGTGTTATCTTTCTTAGTTTGCTATTGTGCAAATTTTACAGTATTCTTTTTCTGTAGTTGGTCGTTACTTCTCGGACCTTCCTGCAATAAAACGCTCTGTCTCTAGTCATTCTGCCTGACTGAATTTGTTTGGGCTCCAAGCAAGTTTCTTTGTCCTGTTCTCATCTTCTGTTAGCTATCTTCCTGCATTATTAGCCATCTACTTTTGCTTTCAAAATATGTTTCTCCAGTGAATCGTTGGGTTTGATATGCCCAAAGTAGTTCAGTTTCAGTGCATCCCAGCAGACAGATATAAGTAAAAGTGTCCATTTCAGGACACCAGGCTTCTAAAAAATAATATTTTGGGACAATGAAAATTAACTTTCTTGCCCATTCTTATTTGTTCCACCCCTTTAACAAGGGAACATTCGTCTTGTGTGTATAAAAAAACACCTTGTTGTTTTAACCCCTCGTTTTAACAGACTTTAAATCTGTGCTTGTCAATCTTTATCAAGCCAGCGCCCAGTTTTGCCACCTTTAAGAGGTTGGAGTTTTCGTATTGCCCATCTACAAGCATTCCAAGTGGGGCGGGTATTAAATAATACAAGTCACTTCCAAAATGATCTCCACCGCCCACCAAAATTATCAAATCCCCCTCTTGTGAGCGATGTCGCTGAAGTTGGTATGCACTGCTCTAGAAATAGACTGACATAAATCTATTAATTCTTTCGAGTAATGGTCTTAGTGCACAGGTTATACAATAGGTGAACAAAAAGTTGCAAATAGTAAACACAATTGGACCTTTACCTCAAAGTCGCAGTAGTCGGTCTGCTCCAGGGCTGAGAGGACCAGGTCAAAGATGGCCGAGTGATCTCCAGCTTGGTTCTTGTTCCTGATCTCAGGCCTGATGTCACGCACGGTGTATACGTCCTCAGTCGGCACGTAGCCTCGGGCGAACGGATTGTTGACCACCTGGACAATAAACGGGCAAAGATGTGTTGGTTAGTTTGAACCGGAGTTTGTCTTTTTTTATTTGTTTAAATTGTATGTCCGTTCATCGAAACAATGTCAGCAAAACTTTAAAAAGATACCTACGGTACATCTCCGATTCACGGGTGAAATTTCTGTTGCACTGGTTGCCTTATGTGGTCCATTGCGTTGCCACGTTTTGTAAAACTCTTAATATAACTACTAGATAAAACTCACCTCATCTCTCCAGACATCGTAGAAGTCCTCAGACGTGAAGATCTCAGGCAAGTCAGTGATGGGCAGAGTCCAGTCCCAGTAGGGGATAGCGATGGCGCTTCCGTGTCTCCTCAAGGCTTGCTCAACCTTGTTACGGAATTGAAGTTGATGCTCATTAGATACGCAAAAAGATACACATGTACATGCTCACGCGCTCACACACACACACACACACACACACACACACACACACACACACACACACAGAGACAC